ACTGCGCTATTACGAAACTTCTTTGGATTTGCCATGTACTAGTTTCTAAATGGGGGACCAATCACCAAAAATTTTCAAGCCTAGTGACTCGTAGTTGAGCATCCAGCTAGCAGAATAATGTGCCTTCAATACAAGTCCAACTTTCCAGAATCATCGATTTCAGCGAAAAGGCCTCGCGGCTTTGAATTCAGGAATCTACTCGTTGTTGTGTTGATGGTTCATAAGGTGCCTAGATCCGAGCTTGCAAATGCAACGCAAGACTGGTATCTCTACAAGCTGTTCTTGCAGAGTCCAAAATGAGCCTGGAGAAGTCTAGTTGCGCGCCATGATTTCCGTCCGCGGCTCTGGTGCTGGTGGAGGTAGATCTGAATGTCGATGTTGAATGTTGTTCCCAAGTAAATAACAAAGTGTTGCAGTGCCGTAAATTGCGCCCACCCTGTATAGCAAATTGTGGTTAGTGCACATAAATTATTATTTCTTTGGTGACTGTATTTTAAATGCTTAATACATATTAAGACGACTCCGGGGACGATAGTGATGGCGATGCGTCAGAAGTTGAAAGGCTAGCTGAAAAGCTTTATGGTCTGATCCATGCCAGATTCATTCTAACAAACAGGTATTTATCTTCGAATATGAGTAACTCATGGATTTTTTTCACGTAGAGCCTTTCGTTTTAAGAGGTCTATCGATGATGCTGCAGAAGTGGAGAGACGGAGACTTTGGAACGTGCCCTCGTGTTCTTTGTTATGATCACCCACTTCTTCCTATGGGAACAGTTGATGTGCCTGGCAAAGATATGGTACGATTCCATTGACTTTAAGTATTCATTTCATTATGAATGGTTAGTTTGATTCAATAGGGATATATATTATATCAAGCAGGGTGAAAGGCTGTCGAGGATTTCTTGACGACTTGTCGAGGATTTTTGCCTGTTCATTCACGCTCTCCCGCGCGGACATTCACTCTCGCCATGCGCGAGCCGTCTGTGCTCTCCGCGCGTACGTTCACTCTCGGCACTACTCTCGCACAGTACAGAGCTATGGTCGAGGGTTTCCTCGACCGTTATTCACCCTTATATCAAGTCTTCCAATTTCTATTTCCTTGTCGGACATTTACGCCTAAGTCTAAACTGAAACATGCATAAGCCAAAGATTAAGTAAGCCTGAGATGTCGGTCAGACTCTGCGATTGCATCGCGCGATGCAGTCGCTCTTGCAATGTGCACTAAGCGATCGCATCCAAAGTGCGAGCGACGGGAGATTTACCCCGCCGACGACCGATACACACGGCGCCGCTCGGGTAAATCTCCCGTCGCTCGCACTTTGGAGCGATGCCAATCGCCCGTCGCTTGTGCACATTGCAAGAGCGACTGCATCGCGCGATGCAATCGCAGAGTCTGACCGACATCTGAGCGACCTGACCTAATCGGAGGTCATGAACATCCGCTCGACCCCCACACTAATTTATCGTGTATGTATCCACTTCAGATTGACTAGCTGAGCTAAAATAATAGCTCGTCAGGTTACCCCTTTTGGCTTCAAATGCAGTTGGGAGGGCATGGCGCGGTTCAAGGCTTTCAAAATCACGCCAAACCTTTCAGTTTTGTTAATTGCAAAAGCAAAATAGTTCACATAGCTAGCAGCTTCCCCCTTTCGAAAAATTGGAGCTGCTTTTGCCGAATCACATCTTGCGGCGCCATCCTCTCTCTTCACTGCTGGTTTGGCGCGCTGCCTTTCAAACACGGTGCACTTAACTCTAACTCATGAATTAGATCAAATGAATAGTAGAAGATCAGAAGATAGAAGAATGAGCTATTCATTTGGATTGAAAGGTGTTCATTTTATTGTTGTCTAACTAGGAAAACGATAAGAGCAAATGTAGTAGTTTCATTTCTTATCTGTACTTCAGCCATTTCTTTTTTCCTAACCTGAACATCATTTGTGTGTAACGGGTTTCGGTTCCTTTTCCATGGCTGAGTGATTGTTTTCAGGTCAAGATGTACTGTACGTCATGCAGCGACATTTATTATCCGAAGCATGCTCGTCACCAGTCGATTGATGGTGCTTACTTTGGGACATCTTTCCCGGAGATGTTTCTCATGATGTATCCTGAGTATCGTCGGCCGAAGCCACAACAGTTTGAACCGAGGTTCGCGTTTCTATGATAATCTACTTCTATTGTCTACACGATAACTCCTACAGTGTTTTTCCAAAAAAAAAAGATTAGGTAGGTCAAGAGAATGGAGAGAGCAACACAGTTGAGGTGCAACCATAATAGCTCCTATGAATTTGAATGCAGCTCATTAGCTATATTGCTGATATCGTTTTTCCATTTGAAGTAGAAGAGCGTCAGGTTGTGGGTGAGAAAAACGGAGAGAATCAGTAAAAAACCCGAGAGATGGATCTTCGTTTCGATTGTTGGCTTTGAAAGTGGACGAGTTTACTGCTGCTGTAGGGCTCATATATCTACGGCATCGATGGGCAGTCGCTGCTTCGACAGCTGTTCCACCATTGCATTTTTGAAAAGAAAACTGAACTGCGATTGTTAGGGTCTCATTCCAAATACGTTGCTGATATCTCCCTTCACGTGAACATGTCTGTGAGACGCTTTATCACGTCGTCGACAGCTCGCCCTACTCCGGCAAAGCTCCAGCTGCTATCTGTCTAAATGGGTTTTCCTACCCTCGAAACCACCCAATTTTTTCCCTGAACATCCGTTTAATTGAGATTTTTGTGTTCAAAATTTCGCTAACTTTTGAGAATATGTCATATCACTTTTCCTACTCTTAGGCTGTTCGGGTTCAAAATTCGTCAGCCACGAGAAGACGATAAGGAAGGCGAACGCGTTTGAGATCGACACCAAAGCTTCCATACATGCTCACTCGTCACAGGTATTCTGCTAGTGGCACAATCAAGTGCCAACTGTTTATGCACTTCCAAAAACGTATAGTTCAGGTTAAAAACTGTGATTATGAACTTTGTTTATGTATATATTTATTGAAGAATCTTGTGGTCCATTTCGTTCTTTTCATAATTGTTAAAATTATTTACTGACGTTTAAATATGGTTGTGTTGGGAATGTTCTTTTTCGATACGAATTCCAACCATAATGCACCTGAACTTGAGAGAATCGAGTAAAAATATTCACTTAGCGATTTTTTCTAGTGAGTCATGAACACTTGCACACAGAAACATCGATATTAGAACAAAATTATTGGACGAGGTCCACTTTCCAAATGTTCTCTAACGGAAGTAGTTGAACTGCTGCTGTTGAGATGGTGCCCATGCTGAACCTTGCTGACGGTTCATCGCACGAGATGGGGCAAAGCCAAGAGCTTTTTGCAGGTTTTGTCGGATAGTCATTGTACACAAAATGTAAAGAAAGATAAATGAGCAATCACGCATATCATCTCCAACCTGAAATGACACTTCATAATAATTCTGTGGTAGTATCACATCAAGCTTAAACAAAGAAACTCTTCCTTTGTCAGTGAGAGAAAAATGTTTGGGAATGAATCGAAATGCCACTCACAAGATTTCTGTGTGACAATCCCTGAAGAAATCCAATCGGAACAAAAGGTAAACGAGCAACCACCCTTCCGTCGAAAATAGAATTGAACGTGGACAATAGGGCAGTGAATGCAAGTCCAATAGCAAACATTGACTTCATTTTAAACATAGACATATCTCGATTCGTTGCCTTAAATCGTTAGGTGCAGAACAGACTGACAAAAAAGAACTATAAATCTGAGTATTATGGAAACGCCTCACAAACCTTTAATCTCTCCTCATCTCGTTCCAGACGCTTTTTGGCGTTTTTATCCACAACCTCGCCAGCTTCCTGCTTTTTCTTTTCTAATCGCTTGGTTTTCCGTTCCATTTCGACTGAAATGTTTCACGACAATTTTCAGTCAAACAGTAATTAAAAGCAGTAAACTGACTTTCAATCGCTTGTACTGCTCCGATCGGTAGACTAGTACATACGTGAGACCCTCTCCAGCCAGTGCAGTACAGAAGGCGATCGCAATAATAAGCAAGCAATCGGACAACATTGAATGTACTAAAACATTAATTACTACAAGTGGTAAAAATACTAGTAGCCATAACGACCTCGACGGCCCATTTTGGTGAGATAGATGTCAGACTCGGCGATAGTGCAGTCGCCTAGTCTGACGTCCATTTAGGAGCGATTTCCTATCCAGAGGATCCTGAGTCTTCACAAACGCTATATATGGCATTAAAAAAGAGGGAGTAGTGGGTCATGATGATCACAAAATTAAAGGGCAATTCGAAACATTAACGCATACACAGAAAAAAAAATGATTATCAAAAGGTAGTCACCAAGCAGAAGTTCGAACCAAATTCAAGCATATTATTTATTATATCAAAATGCAAGTTATAATAAGTTGCACACAGTACGCAACAACGCTTTTTGACCAGAACAACCAACAAGCATAATAACCAAGAAAAACGACTGAACAAGAAAAGAACAACCGATAGATCAACAATGATGATTAAGAAATACTCATAATCTCATCTCTATCGCACAACACGGCAGGGTGAGACCAAAGGCAGTGATTACCTCTGGATGCAAAACACCTGGAACGATGAGGAGTTTGAACAACCACCATGAATAAAAAAAAACTGTTTTCATTCAAGCCTGTGGTAATGGAGACAGGTTGTGGTCATACCTAAAACTCCTAATGTAACATTTCCTGGACCAATTATGGAAGCGCAGCGTCCAGGGAAGAACGTGGGATCTGTAAACATTTTAAAATGAAGAAAGAAGGTTGGAGCAACAAAGACAGGATCTCGGAAAACTCATTGAATGAACTTACTATCGCTTGCTCTGATGTAGTACCCATTTTCTTTGGAAGGGTTCACGTCCAACAACCGCATTACTCGGTCAAGAAATCCATGAACAATTTCGAATCCAGCAGTCTTGTTATAGTAAACGGCGCCTAAACGGCGTTCATTCCGCGCTCCTACGTCTGAAATCGTTCATAGTCAGTTTGACGATGTTAACATCAATTATATTTACAACAATATAGTTTGAAACAAAAACTGCATCACAAAGGTAAAACCGTTACTGTGGCAGTTTATAACGGCCACAGTAATGGTTTTAACTTTGTGATGCAGTTTATAACGGTCGAGCAAAATATGCGTTGATCCAACTAAAACTCGAACTGACACAGATGGAATGCATTCACAGCATAGACAGTATCAAGCTTGGTAAGCATTCAAGAGTTGTTGATTGAAAAGAACCAGGGCAGGATTATGGAGTGTCTTCCCACCCCTTCGTGTATTTTGACAAAATGAACTTAGGCATTCAAAAATGACCACAAAAAGTACCAGAAGATGGATCCTTCATTATGACGTCTTGAAGCTCGAATAGTTTTAGAGGTAGTGGCATATCTCGATTTGATGAAAGCGTCTTCATCAGGCCAGGGAGCAGTGATGATCGGGCAACCTGCAAAACACTAAGTATCTCTGCAAAGAATCTTGGCTACAAAGGAGAAGAAATACCTGGAATTCCTGCGTTTTCGGATTCGAAATATGTACGGCATTCTCAAGTGCCTTGTCGTCCCTCAGACGCGTGGAAATATCTTCTCTTGAGCATAAGGCAAAGTTGAGAGCTTCCGTCCAACCGGCAGCTGCTATCTCTCCCCGAAGTAGATCCGATAACTTATTCAACGGAAACACTTCGGCCTACAGTGTTCGACTTAAAAAGTGATTTTAAGAAAATAGGAAATATTTAAATGCTTTTATCTGAACCTTGAAACAACCTCAGGAAGTCGGCAAACTAAGTTGTTGAAGCCATACGCCACACCCACGTCCTCGGCAACATCGCATTCATGCAGTATATCGTGCCTCGTGGGAGGAATGGTCACCTGAATGTTGAGATTGGCAAATTGTTTTCATTTAGTTCGACGTTGTCAAATTGTTATAGAACTAAGCCGTACCTTCAAGGTATTCTCGGAAACAACTTTTGCTTTGAGTGACATTTTAATAAGCAAATCAGCCATAGTTTGAGCGTCAAGTTGGAATCCTATCTTTGTGTTAATCTCAGAAACACGCACCATAATTTCCCGGCACGAAAGTACCTGTAAAAGTATCGGCTGCTGTAAAAGAGAAGTTTTTGTGGCTCAATAATGAGCAGCAATCAAGTCCCTATTCTTATATTCAAGGAAAAAAAACTTACAGGGTACTCTTCTCTCCGACCGCTCTCCTCGTAAAACACTTCTACTGGTTCTATCCTAAAGTTACGCTTTTACGAATAGTCACCTTAAGGCGAGGGTCAGCCTTCGCGATCCAACGATTCGCTAGTAGCGGATCCGTGGATTCGCTGGTAACTCTGCAGATTTGCTACTACCAAATCGCTGGAAGGCAAAATTTGACACGGGCCCCAAGGTTTAGACAAAATAGAAATAGCAAAAAGTACACACAAGACATTTCAAATAATACTGAACATAGTACTTACGTGAACGGTTCCTTGCAATACTGACTGAACATTGTTACAACAGTGTCAAGGACGACGGTTGCCTGCGAAAGGGAAGGTTAATGGAAGAAAGAAGCAGACCGGAACTGAAAAAAAAACCTTTTGCAAAATCCGTCGCGGTCGCTTCTATAAAAATGTTTTTTGTATTGAGGGTGATTTTCGAGTGTTCGCCTGAAATCAATAAATAACATAAACAATGAGAAACACTTTGAATTCTAATTTGATCAAACAAAACTAGCGCACCATTTATAATAGGAGGCATGGAGCACACTATTCCATTTGCATCGTAAATGACTGGATACCGCTCTTTATCACGAATGATTGGCAGATAAGGCTTCAAGTGGCTGTCATCGAATGAACAAGCTTTTGGTAAGAAACACTGCGAAAGAAAACATTCACTGGTAGAGAATTCCATTAATTCGCTGGCAGTGAATTCCTTAGTTTGATTGAGAGGTACGAACTTTATGTCCTTTGGCAAGTCAGCGGTGTATTTGAATGGACCTAAATACAAGCTTTTCTTTCTAGTTAGCAAATTCTGCAGTTCATATTTGGAAAGGACTGCTATGACACAGTGTAGGCCAAATTCATGGAAAGTAAATTTAATGCCGCGCAAAAAACAAGAATGCAGCTTGAGAATGGAAACTCTACTTCTAGTCTTAAATCCCACAAAAAAACTGATAAGAACTACTAAATTCCATTAGATCCGGTATATCATACACAACTATAAGGACTTTCGGGCAACGCTTTATCATGGCACAGAATTTGCATGGCATCCAACTCTCTTCGAGTCCGACCGTCGACTAGGCGTGATGACGGCGACCCTCACCACATGAGTTGGACTCGAGAAACACCAGACAGGTCTATCAATCGGATATCATTTAACAAACTGAGGCAGAGGCCATTCATCGAAGAAGATCAAACTCAATTTACCGCTCTTCGCGCTGGGTTACCGTCCTGTTGATACACTTATTGCTCTTGCCGAAGTTTTTTCTGAGACCGACGTGAGCTTTTGTTTTCGAAACGCTTAAATGACTGCTCTAGTTGTTCTTCATGTCCTTTGGGTGAACTGTGCAATGCTTTTCCCCAGTGTCGCCCATTCCGGCCGGAAAAATCAAAGAATTCATATGACTGCTGCAAGTGGAGGCCATAAAAACTTAAAGCCATATAAACTTGCGTGGGTTCGATTGCTCAAATATTGCTCGACAGCAGAAACCTGGCTGTTGACAAAAGAAGTCTCAGTGTGCGCTACCGTAGAATCACTGTAGAAGCTTGTCACTTTCGCATTTCGATGTCGTGTAAAAGAAAATGATCTTGCGCGTGCCTTCTACTTTGGATGGTTCTTTGCTATACCGCCGGTGAGTCCGAAGAATAGACAACTTCCTTCTGTCTCACGCACTGACTGCCCATATTGCAGCATGAACGACCACCTAGCTTCCTGTCTTTCGCATCGTATAAAAGAAAGGCTCTCCACTTGTTCGTCACTCAGAAATGTTTCTTTAATACATGACTCAGCGACATGTGCCGATCGCTTGATAGATAACTGCCCAAGTCGAAGTTAGACGGAATATGGATCTCCCTTGTCATTCCAATAGAAAAAATATCTCCTCAAATTGTGAGAGACTGCCACGATTAAATTAAAAGATGAAAACTACAAAAAAATTTCTAGTTAAGCGGAGTAAATAAGAAACTGAAGATTCTGTACGCTCGTCTAGTTTCCATATTTTTGCCCTACCCTAATGATGCAGGCATGAAATATATTGCAGAAATATAAACGAAATGTCATCTTGAAATAAAGCCTTCTCAGGTATTCAAATTATATCACGATTTCAAATCTTCACTCTTCATGTATTAACTTGATACCATCACCTCATTCATATGCGATCAATGAAACGCAAATCGTTCCCTCCGTATGCGCATAATATGGCAATTTAGCGTGCATTCGCAGGCAACCGATGCAATGAGTTTCAAGTGCCTTTACACGGGTATTTGGAATTACTACCCGAGCCAATTTGACATCAACGAGCTTTCATTTACATTAAAAAAATCCTCGAGTGTTCGATTGATAGCACCACTTATTCTCTGCTTAACGTGCCTTCAATTTACCATGATTAAAAAGAGCTTACCAGAAACAGTGTCCAGATCGTGTGTACCAATAGCCACCAAAGTTCGCTTTCGACAAATATTTTGATGAAGCTTGTCCTGGAAATCGAAGAATTGCACTGGCTCTATAATGAGCAGTACTGAAATACCTGCAGATCAATGAAGGACGCGTAGTTATCTGGATCGAAAGTAACATTCCGAAGAATAGCACCAACCACGAAAGGACGCACTGCCGCTGTCTTGAAATAAATCAAAGATAAATAGGATTGATGCGTTAGGTCTACTGTTAATAGAAACCGAAAACGAGATGCAATTTCATTATGGTGCCTTCATGCGATCTAAAATGAATTCACCACCACTAATTCAGCATTCATCCGCACAGCCATGCGTTCTTTGTGTGAGGTTTGTTTGGCCGCACGCCTGCTAAGCAATCGGCACTGCAACCAGGTCAACCGTGACGTTCGCACGTTTTCCAAAATTTCGCGACCTCCTCCTTTAGGAAGGTTTCGATGCGACCTCCCACCATCAGAGACTCAGGAGACTCCCCCAATACACCACCACCTCCGTCCACCACCCTAGTCATCATTGCTGCCCCTGTTATTTGATTCTGAGACCGGTCGAAACAACCCTATTCCGCCCACTTTTCCTTGAAACGACCGTAGACAGGGGGGTCTATAAAACGGCAAATTTTCTCTCCTACTATCACCTATCCTACCTCCCGCTGGTGCAAGCCACTACGCCACTTCCATCCTCAACAAAAAACAAATCTAAATCGCCTCGCCATTCCCTCTAATCACTAATCCCACTCCTCCCACTCAACCCCTAAATGCGACCCCCCTTCCCAAAACTAAAATTGCGACCCCCGTTCGAATTGTGCGAACACACGGTTGACCATGATTGCAACACTAATGTTGCTGTAGGGCCGGAACACGTTCACAAAGGGCAGCCTCCCCTCCAAAGTAAACGGCCTATGTGCTTACCCATCCTTAGAAGATACGAAGATAGGATACATGTTTCTATTACCTCAAGAAAAGTTAGTACCAGAGACGGAAGAGAGACAACTTTCGGTTTTGAAGGCAACAGTATAAAAATCTTAATAAATGCAACTACTTAGAAACCTTAGAAAAGTTTTCGACACAGAGAATCCAGTAACAGTAGAAATTTTTCTTAAAAATCTTCACCTTATCTGTGACGATTATCTGCTGGAGAGGACCAGCGGGCCGCTTCAGTTTGTAATTTGGACTCTTCATTCTGAAACATAACAGTAATCCACTTGAAGTAAGCAACTGCA